GACAGCAGCAGCTCTCAGTGTTAAATACTGACATCTGGACTATGAGCACAGCTGATCTTGCTTCTGATGTCGTTCATGAACACAGTCAGCTTTTTACACTCTTTTTAAAATATTAACAGTTGAATTTCTCTTCAGTAAAGTCAGCTTTGGCATAATTGTCGTTAGCATTAGCAAAAAATGTAGCAACTCAACAGAACAATGAATAGTAGATAGAACATAACAGCTAATAATGCTAAAATAATGCTTTTGTGTTGAAGTTTATTTAACTCATAATTTTAAGGCAACCATGTAAAATTTTTAGGTAGGCTAATTGTTGTAACAATCTATATGTAGTTGAGAGAACTTAAATTTTAAAGTTTACTTAGTCCTCTTGATTGCTTGAATAAGTTGATTCAATATTTAATCCAAAGTTATGACAACAAAACAACATTAAGGATAACCGCTTTAGCAATGTGGACTGTGAAATTCAGGTTCCTGGCTGTCCTGGAAGCTGTTATGGTATGATTTTAATAGATAATATATAAAGATTTAAACAGATAATATAAAACACCTAAATTTAATCTCTTTGAGTAAAACTCTCTTCTAATTAAATGAAGTTGTCTCCTTTAATACAGCTGTTAAAATGGCTGCTGTGATGTTAGTTTTTCAGTTCTCACGAGGGTTTCTTTCTCTTCCTGTGTGTTAATCTCAGATGAGACATTCATTAGCAGGTCGGACCAAAGAAAAATGAAGCCTCTTTAGAGCTCAACTAGAGAATGGAAACGGATCAGTAAAAAGGTGCAGTGCGAATTCATCTCATGTCTCATAGCGATCCGACAGACCTATCAGAATCAGAGCAAATGCTAAAGCACTTTAGGTTGAATGAGAACAGAAATATTGCTAGCAAGTGTAAAATGTACATCAATTCAATGGAGTTATTAAACTCTTTAAAACATGTCTCAAAAGTACTTAAGGAACTGAATTGCCTTGTGCTAATGTTCCGAAAAAAGTCTAGAAGTTCCTCAAACTGCTTCCAGGATGGTTGTAGTTTGACCTGAGGTTTATAGTTGGCTTTAAAGGTGATAAATGTGTAATTTTATAATGTTAAAACAACTACACTGGTTTAATATGCACACTGTCCTGCTCCCCTCCATCAGATCTGGCCTCTTTACACCCGTTCATTCATCTTAGTCACGCATTAACATAATATTAACATAATTAACATGCGTGTGTCACTGACCAGAGGGCTGTCAAACAGTGTTCACACATCTCCTCTAGCATGTTTGACATTTTAAAGTGCTGAGCGTGTAGCTTACAGCGCAGGTACAGCTACACACGGTCAATAATTATGCAACATGCTAGCCTCAGGTACAGGAACTTTGGAGATAATTAATATATTAAAACTGCACTCACATACCCTCCACGACACCCAAATGATCAGAAAAGTGAATTAAAAGATGAAATTCAGTGTGATTTCCCTTTCAAGTACATCCACGAGGACAAAAATAGCAGCTAATATTAGCAATAGCATGCTAACATGCTACTTGTACTGTTTCTGCAGTGTGAACTATGGATACTCCATTGTATATTATTTTCTTTGTATGCATTGAATGCACAGATGACTTACTATATTTTACAAAATGTGTAGCATACAGCAGAGCATGGAGTACTGTATCCCACAATGCAATGCCACTTTGAATGTTAGAAGTAATATGAGCCACAAATTTTATTTCTTTTGTTGACAGCTTAAAGTTAAAGCATTTTGATGAACATTGGATTGGATTACATAGGATTTCTGTTGCATGTTCACATACAAATTTTTAAGCGTAGGCCGTATACAATATATACCACCCTATATGCAATAATACGTATGCTTGTATTTTATGTCGATACTGTACTCATATTTTTTACTTAAAAAAAACATGTTTGGTCATTAAAATTAGATTTTATGTACACACGTGTCTATATATATAAAACACCGGATGGTTGGATCTGCATTTCTAAAAAATGTATTTTAGAGTAAGTGAGGCTTTGATTCTGAGTCTTCTTTGTATTGACAGGTGGTGGGTGTTTAAATTCCTGCTGCTACTGTCTGTGATATAAAAAATCTGTGAAAATAAGCAGGTGAGAATATGTTACTGACAGAACGACTGCATGCGTTTCTAATTTAGCTGAGACTTCTGAAGCAAACCCAACCTGCAGGAAATATCGTTCCTGTCAAGGGGCCATCTTTAAATCCTGTTCATATGCATATGGAGATAAAATAAAAGCTTTTGCAATTTTAAAGTGCTCTATTCCTGTGTCTCTTAAAGGGAAATGAGCACCTTTCAAATGGATAATTACACCTTAATCTTCGGTTCTATAGTGAAATCGTGAAACACGCCTGTCAGAGGAAATCAGGAATGAAAACAACATTGAGAGAGCGAATCTAAGATGTCTCTGTTTGTATGCGTCAGTCAGCATGCAATAAACCCAAAACAGTTATTTTCTATTCATTAGATAAATTAGTTGGAGTGCCTCATTCTGGGAGTTTCCGGATGATTCTGCATCTCTAAAGAAAACCATCATTTTCTCTGTCTGTCTCTTTTTCCTCTTTCGATAAGTGATTACAGCATTATTTCCAGTACTATGAGGAGGTGAATTAATTTTTATGCTCTCAAGGCCCTATAAAGTTTTCTTGAAAAGTTCTACAGAATGCATAATATTATTTCAGTGGCACCTGGTTTTCTGCACATTCCCTGATATGATCCTGCAGGCATCCAGTCATCTTACCAGCTCCTTGTCCTTCCTTGAGCTGATCAACCTAAACCAGTTAGGATCAGACAATGACCACTGTTAAAACCAGCAGGAGTATTAAGCTCATTTCTACATCAAGCCTCTAATAATAATAAATCTCCTAATTTTTCACAAATCTCCTCATCCTCAATCCCCGTTCATACAGTGATTTTATCGCCGGTGGTCATGAGGTTGCTGTACTATTGGTTGCTAATAGGCACTGGATGAGTGTTAATGGGAGCTTCACAACTGGTCATAGTGAAAATCTGATCGATGCATTTGCGATAAAAATAAGATGTTCTATTTTTACAAGAAGCACCCAATGACTTCCAGGCATTTTGTTGCTGCAAATCACTGCATGTGTGAACCCTTTTATTCAGAGAAAATAAAAAAATGTTCTTATTTGTTCTTGCTCAGCTCTTACATATAACTTTACAACTTTCAGAAGGTCCTGCATTATCATAATGACCCTGACAGGGACACAAGAAACCCATTATGATAAAATGACACTGTTTTCTTACCTGCTGGTTAATATTATTTCACATTAACTGCGCAACCGCCAACGATTCGCCTGCAGAGCAAAATAAACAAGGCACATTTTTGGTAAAAAAAATCTCCATAGACTGTTTAATACAACATACCATATTTTCAACAATTCAACATCAATAAAATTGTGTTAATTAAAAAAAAGAAAGAAAACAAAATGCATATTACCTTTATTGCACAGAACAACTGAAACATTTTTCATACTAGATTTTTTCACCTTTTTAGGTTTCCGTTTTTTCTTTAGTATAAAAGAATATAATGGACCACATTAATGCACATTATCATCCTGGGCTGAATGTCAGAGAGGGCAGAGGTCATATAAAGATTTATTCGACGTAATAGGATGAGAACAGCAGGTAGACCACAGAGGCAGAGGATCAGAGAAAGATTCAGGTGTGCATGTGTGTGTGTGCATGTGGCAGATTAACTCTAAAGTGGATCAGTAAGGGTTAAACCATCTGTGCAGCTTCTCCATCTGCAGCCTCAGTCAGCTGCACAAACCACTTAGCGAGGCGAAACCCATCTACACCCAAGCAAAATCCTGTGCATAAACACAGCTCATTGTTCTTCCACGGAAATCACCTGCCCTGCTTTGTCCAGATTAAACGCACACTTAAAACATAGCTGGACTGTAGAGCGAATTCATTCAACTGTTGCATTTCAGCACAAAAACCTGCTTCATACTCACTAACCAGTCCATTTTAACCGGTCTCTATCTAGCACTTGTGCAACCGTGCTCTCTTTTCGGCATAAACATGCCTACTTTCAATTTACTCCCACTTCTTTATTCACAAACAGTGTCTAACGTTGTGCTTTTACCGCCTGTGGAAACAGATGCGAAACAACATTATCCAGGAGTGCTCATTCTTAGTGAATTCCCCTCTTGTATCTAGATATCTGTCATTGTAACAAACCAGCACCGTTTTAGTCCTTAGATGTACTGGGTAACTTTAAAACAGTTTCTTTGGGTACCAACGCTTATTATAATGTAAAGAAAAATTGATTTGACACCATAAGACAGGTCACAGACTAAGTCCATTTGACAGGCACGAGACCGTAAGACAGGTGTAAGACCCATGAGACAGATCTGAGAGCATGAGACAGGTGTGAGACCCAGCGACGGCAACAGGTGAAGGTGATCGAGTGCTGTCGAGCATATTAACACTCTCACCTTTTGATGAAATGATTGATTCTGTTAGGAACTCGCTCGCTTTCGCACATACACACTCTAAGATAGAGATGTACATTCTTGGTGTTGCTTCTCAGGCGAATAAAACTTGGAATGGGTTTGTTATATAAAAATGTGATCCTGCAGTGACATTAAATGGGTTTAAACCTGACCAGGCACTACAGAAATGCTCACTGCAGGCTATAGCGATCAAAATAAAGCAAAACACACAACAAAAGTTACATAATTACTGCTGCTTTCATTTGCCTAGCCATTAATCCAACATTAAACAACCTGTACTTGTTTATCCAGATGCTCGAGTCATAAAATTCCCTAGGCTTATCCAACAAATGCATTAAAATACGGATCCGAAAGCAAAACGAGAACCAAACAGTAGAGTACAGATACAAAGAAAGAAATGTGCAGTGAAAGTTGCGCTATACACATATTTCTCTATGGCAGGAATGGAAATGCAATCTATTATATTCCACATTCTGTTGCAATGTAGAATATGAATTTGGGCAAATTCAGCTGTTAGGTTTGTTAAATGTGCTTTTCACCCCTGATTTATCTACTGTTATTCTGTCATAAAACTATTAATTTAAGAAGCAAACAAGAAAAGAATGGGTTAAACAAACAAACTAACAAAACGGATGTGGGCAGCAGGACAGCAGGGAGAAGGATGGTCTGCCTTTGCATTCTGGAGGTCGACACAAAACATTTTGGAGGTTCAGTTTTTCCTTTTTTTCCATGTTTTTTTGCCCATAAAAATCCACAGGAACTGAAATGTTTTAAAACAAAATCCTCTCTCAAAGATATTGGTCCCCGTAGGCTGAGTTTAAGCGGCCATCACAGAGGAGTGCGCATGAGGACATTTTCCCCCTCTCATGTTCAATATTGAAGAAAAGCACCGACCCCTCTGCCGCACATCCAACTTTAGAAAGGGGGAAAAACACCCCTCCTCTATGGGGAGCTCGTCAGAGCCAGAGGTTGTACAGGCAGGGAATCTCTTGTTTTTGTCTCTGAGTCTGTTTTTGAAAGGGTCTTTTGAGCTCCCTGGCTGGATTATATCATTTTCATGTTAAATTTCCGAGGGGCATCGTTGCCGCTGCTGCTCGCCCCAGCGTCTGATTTGCGCGGGACGTACTCTATCTCAATGTTGTGTTTACTGTTGCCTTTGCCTCTGCTCCAAAGAAAGAGCAGAACAAGGCAGAACAGAACCACACCCAAAAAGGAGATGAAGCCCATGGTGGTGGCGATGATTAGCGTCTTTATATCAAAAGGGAACGGGACTGTTGCTCTTGTTCCATTGGCTCCGTTGTCGTTGGGTTGGTTGGAGATAAACGCCAAGGTTTTGTTGGGTTGGTTAGGCCAGTCTGGCGAGTAACTGTGGACATGTAGGTGGGCCAAAGCGGTGTCGTTTCCACCTGCATTGCTAGCAATGCACACATACGTCCCATTGTCCTGAATCTGAGCGTAGCGCACCTCCAAGGTGCCATCCGGGAAAACAGTGAGCCGTCCTATTGTTTTCGTGGTGATAAACTGTTTTTGTGGAGAAAGCCACATGATGACAGGTGTCGGGTCTCCATCTGCTTGGCAGACGAAGTGGACGGTGGTGCCTTCATCAAGGAACTTCTGCTGTGGTTTCCGGTCTCGGATCCTAGACTTCCGACACGTGAAGTAATTGGGCTGCAGCACGTCAGGGAAGTCCTTGAACTCTTTTCCCTGAACGAACTCGGGTGAGGAGCAAGTCGGCTGCTGGCGGTTGAAGTTGAGCCTCCAGCGGCGTCGGAAAACCCAAAGCAGACGGCAGTCACAAGCCAGTGGGTTGTCGTACAACGCGAGGGTCTCCAGGTTCCCCACCGAATGGAACACAGACTCCTCCAGGGTGGTAAGGGAGCTGCTGGACACATTGAGGACTTTCAGGTAGTTCAGTCCTCTAAAGGAATAGGGTTCAATCATCGTCAGTCGACCGCCTACCAGGTGGAACTCCTGCAGTCTGAGCAGGTCGTGGAGCCGGTTGCCCTCGATCATCTGGATGGGATTGTAGGACATGTTTAGGAAACGAAGATAAACCAGGTGCCGCAAGGCCAAATATGGAATCGATGTCAAGTTTGCATTAGTGATCGTTAGGGAGGTAAGATTCAATCCGTACAAGCAGTTAGTGGTCATGGTATCCAGGTAGGGCCAGTTGGCGATCTCCAGCACTTTGAGACGGTAGAGCCGCTTGAAGCTGTAGTCTCTGATGCTGTTGATGTTGAGGTTTCGTAAGCGTAGCGTGACCAAACTGTGCAGGTGCGTGAAGGCCTCTGTCGGGACAGAGGTCAGGTTGCACTTTTCTAGCGTGAGCTGGTCCAGGCTGCTGAGGCCGTGAAATGCCCTGTGGGATATGAAGACAAGGTCATTATCCCCAACCTCCAGAGACCGCAGGTTGTAGAGGTCTTGGAACATGTAGTCCAGCAGAATTACGATCTTATTTTCACTGATGTCCAGCTTTGTTAGGTTACTGAGGCCCATGAACACTCCCAGCTGGATGAGCTTCAGCTTGTTGCTGCGCAGTCCCAGAGTCTGCAGGCTGTAGAGTTTGTTAAAAGCCCCGGGCTCGATGGTCGAGATGGTGTTTTCATTGAGCTCCAGCTCTTCCAGCTGCGGGAAGGTGGAGAACTCATCTGGATTGATGGTTTTGATTCGATTCTTGCTGAGGTCCAAGAGTCGTGTTTCCGATGGGATTCCCTCTGGAACGGACATCAGCTTCTTGCGGTGGCACAAGACCGAACGCTCCTGAGCACTGCATTCGCAACGCGATGGGCAGCCCGTGGCAGAGCCAGACAGCACTGTGCCCAGCATTAAGATTAGAATGGGCTGCCAGCATGCCACCAGGAAGCTGTGCCCACTCACTTCCCCTGCTACCATCCTACCGGTTACCTGCACAGACAGAGAAAAAGAGCGTTGAATTATAAAATATGAAATTCAAGGCATCCAAATCAATAAACAGTTATACCACACAGTATTGACCAAACTTCTAGTGGGTTATTTTCTTTGGCGAGCAGGATATGGCTCTAAAACATGAGTGAATTGTGTATTTATTGAATACCATTCATTCAAAGAGTGGAGAGGGTAAAAGAGTGTTTTACTGAGAGTTTGACTACTATAGCACAAATAATTTTCATTTCTAAAGTGTCAACTGTGTGTTTCATTACATTATAGGCTCATAAAACTATGAGCTAAGGACTGTTGGATTATTCAGAACTGTGAAAAGGAAGAGCCAATGGCGTGTACTTGCATAACCGTGCGAATCGGCACTTTTGGATTCAATCTTCTTTGTTTTGACCCCAACTAGTTCAACTTCAAAGGCTTTTAACACTCAGTAGCACTCGTGCTAACTGAGCTCAGGGACTTGACTTGGAATCCATTGCAAAGGTTACATCACCATCATAAGATATTTATGAATCCTGTAAACCTCTGGCGCACCTAACACAACTGAACAGTGAGTTAGAAGGCTGTTTCTGTGTCCCAACCAGCCTTTTCACTCTCAAATCCTGAGTGTTCACACTTCCATGTCTGGGATCCATATGAAACGATGACATGGAGGCATGTGTGTGAATTTATCCACAAATCCACTTCACAGGAAATCAGCAGGTGCACACATAAAATTGCTAGCATATGCCATCTGCGAGAGAGACCAAAAGACAAGAAATTGGTTTAAGACCGATCTGAAACACTCTCGCTCTCTGATCAATTACTAAAAGACATGCTGACCATTGAAATCTGTACACAGAGATTCTAATGCTTCCTGAATCAGCGAAAAAACACTATTTATGCATAACTGCCCTTATTGTGAGGTTTAGCTTCTTAGCTTTGGTTTGGAAGTCTTCAAAAAAAAAAAAAAAAAACTGTTCATGCATAACTGTCCTTATTGTGAGGTTTAGCTTCTTAGCTTTGGTTTGGAAGTCTTCCATGCACTTACACCATGATAAGAGTCTTTGAAATAACAGAAACACAGCTACACTGAAAAAAATTTGGAGTAGGATTTACTTGAAAAAAGCTTGGAAACAATTTTCACTCAGAAAAGGCTAGTTAATATACAAAAATTTGACAAGTAAAAGCCTAAACATAATTATTAGTAGCTTTAAATAGAAATGTTTAAGTTAAGTTTACTTGGGAATTCCCAGTAAATTTTATTGACTCTTTGTTTGTAAATTTTACTTAAGTAATGCTTATCACTGTAAAAAGTGTGCTGTTAAATAACAGTAATTTACTGCACTGAAAAAAACAATAAGATTAACTTAAATTTTCTTTCTTTTGCAAGTTTTCACACACAAATATTTTAAGTGAAATTTAAGTATTGAATAAAGTAAAATGAAATCTGTAAATAAGCAAGTATGCTTGTTATCCTTTTAAGATAATATGCCCACTCAATGTAATTATTACCTAAATGAACACAGAGACCTCAATACTTGGTACACCATACACGGAAACAATCAGTGAATAGTGTTTGAGTATGAATGGGTCATTTTGAGTAGAAAATGAACTCCAGATGTCACAAAACAGTAAGTTACTAAACCTAACAACAAAAGCAACCATAAAACAGTGTAAATACAACTCGAAAACAGTGAAAAATGTAACCCTTTTAATTATTCATGCCCCAGTGCATGATGGGAAATACGGGATCATAACTTTGATATTTACTTAAAGAATCCTAACAACATAACAAACAATTCCAAGTAAAATATACTTGGAAACTTCAAACTTTAATTTCTACAACCTTAAATTGAGTATTAATATAGAATTTACTTTAATTTTTTAAATTCTTGCCTGAACTAAATTATTTAATGTAGAAATCACATTTGTTTTTATGTAGTATTTACTTCACCACAAAATCATTTTTATCAGTGTACAAGATTTAAAAAAAACTTACTATATAATCTTCTTTATCTTTAAATGGAAACTGTTCCAAAACCTAGTTAGCCACCTTGCCTACATAGACATCATCTGAATAGAACCTCATAACGGACTTATTCTGAATGCTCTACATGGGCAGAAACTCCACAAATTGAGCGCACTTGCAGAGGTGGACTTACCCATTAGGCAAAGGTAGACGACCGCATTGGGCTACCAAAAGCCAAGGGCCCCCTAAAATGCTTTTTATATATGAGATGCGCATTAAGCACGGACACGTGAACGGTTGCTGTTTACTGTGTTTATTACCATGACAACCGTCTGTGTGTCCGAGTTGAATGTGCTTCTTGTGTATCCTGCTTGTATCAAATGAAAATATCATGCATCTGAAGCTGTAATTACATATTGAGCAACAGTGCGTATTATATGTTTATTGTTTTAAATGCCGCTTACTCATTTATGAGAAGGACCCAATTAGAGGACGCATACACAGTTACTTTTTTGATTGATATAATCCTTAGGTGTGTAAATGTACAATTTTATTTTTCATAATTGTTTTTTTCAGTTTCATTTAAATTTGTAGTTAAAATAACTAGTTAAATAAAATAATAAATTTTCGATGGCATTTTAGCGTTTATGAGAGGAGCACTGCTTTGTTTACAGCCGTTACCGGGGAAACCGTGGTATTTCTGATGTTCCAAAAGCACCTCCTACTGGTAGAGAATGAAAGTGCATTTTCAATAATCCCGTCTGCAGTTTTTGTTCAGATCAATGCGAAAATCCACCCACATAACCCTGTTTTAAATTAATATAATAATTTATACTTCTGACTCATCCCTTTTCTTAAAAAATGGTTTAAAGGCTAAACTATGAAGTTTATCATTATATAATTTATTTTGTTTTTGTGAAAACCTATATCTCAACTGTAAATCAATTGCTATTTCGTGGTCTACAACATGAAAGAAAGCCATTATAGCATGTACATGAAAAATGTAGAGACATTGGACACAACTATGGGGCAGCATTGTGCAGCAGCAAGTATCACAGAGCTCTTTGTAGTGCATTCCGGTGATTGCCTTATTTGCCAATGATACATACAGTCTTACCTTAGAATTCAGCTAAAAGGCATCTAAGAAAGGGTTTTAATAATTCATAACAGTTTTTGCATAGCACATTTACAATGCCTTAAAATGCTGTCTAGGTAGGCATCTCACTTGGTTTTGGAACACAGCTTGCATCTCAGTGAATCTCAGGTTTTACTTTTTTTTATTAATTTTTTTGGTTTGCTGTCACACTATTTATTCTCTGCCGACCTGTTGTACTGGAATACTTCTATTGAGAACATCAAGGCATGTTCATTTCCAGTTCATGTAGCACAACATCCCTGTCGCATGATCATAAAAAGGATGTACAACTTGCATTAGGAAGCCTGATGCCAGCAATGATTGCTTCTGCCCTGAAAGACTGGTAAATATTATGTCTTGTGATACTGATATCAGAGACTTTTCAGTTAAAAGAAATTGTAGAGCTTTGTGAGCCTTAAAATGGTTCTTTAGGGAATCCCAAATCTTGAAGCACAATGACCCTTAAACAGAGTCACTGGAGTGCAGAAGAACTCCACCCACCCACACAAACACAAAATACTTTGCATATATCTCCAAGATGAGCCTGTTACAGGAAGCTAAAAACAGAAAAGATATTGTTAGCATATTCCCAAGTGCAAATTAAAATATTATCTTATTAATTTGCATATCCAATCAACTCTCACAAAATAATTCACAACTATGTGCAGGATAGGGTAGGTGGATCTATTTTTTGAAAAAGTTTAAATGAAAATATATGCAAAAATATCTGCATACATGCAGGTAGTCAACAAGACTATTTCTAATTCTAAAGGAATATGTAGAGGAAGTGATTCACAAACATTTGAGAAGAGGCCAATTTGGATTTTTGTTTGCAATTTGTTGATTTGTAATGAATAAACTGCAGTGATCTAACTGTGAGCTCCAGTTGTTCATCAGGATCAATAATGAAGCCACTGAAGGGTTGAGTTTGGCTGGAAGCATTCAGCATGTGGCCCAGAGGCCCCGTGTTAAACCGTTAACACTGCTGAGGGGAGGCTGGGTTCTGTTCAAAGCAAATTAAGCAGCCTACAGTGTGTGCTGCCAAAACCTGAGAACATATGGAAATGTTCTTCATATGAATCTGACATGAAAGAACTATCACTGCTGTCTGCTCATCAGGCTAGCAACAAGCTGAAACATTATTCAGCTAATGATCTATCTTTGGAAATCTTATCAAATAGCATTATGTATTATCTCACAGTGAAAAACAGAAAATAAATATATGATTGTTAAGCCCTCCTACTGAAAACCCCCTTTTTGGGGTCTGTGATCTTTAATCCCCTGTAAAATAATAGAATGGTAGCATGTAAAGTACATAAAGTAATGCAATGACATAGTTTGTACAGTAATGTGGTGAATTAATCTATAAAGTAATGCGGTGAGTTTGTGTGTAAAGTAATGCAGCAAACTGATATGTATAGTAAAAGAGAGGCAGAATGTAAAATAAGCAGTAAAGTGGTGTGGAATCTAAAGTAATGCACTGAAATAATGTTTACTGTAATGCAGTGAGGTAGTATGTAAAGTAAAGCAGCAAACTAGCATGTAAAGTAATAACTGCATTAGTGTGTAAAGTAACAGTGGGATTATGTGTATAGAAAACACAGCAAACTAGAATGTAAAAGAGAGGTAGCATGCAAAATAATGCCGTAAGTTAGCATGTAACATAAAATAATGCAGTGAAGAAGCATGTGTTTTCATGCAGTGAGGTGTGTAAAGTCATGCAGCAAACTATCAACATAAAGTAACAGACAACAAGAACTGTAAAATAAATTACTGCAGTTTGGTAACGTATAATTTGCAGTATTAGTGTGTTAAGTAACACTGTGATAGTGTGTAAAGTAACAGCAAAGTTGTATGTAAAAGATGTAGCACATAAAATAATGCAGGAAGGTAGAGTGTAAA